ATATTTCCTATTTGAATATTGCTTGCCTTTGACAAGGAGAGTTTTGTTGATGCCACTGCCTTTAAAAAAACAATCCATTGTCATTCATGTTGTAGATTTCAGATGGTTGATAATACTGGATGTGTTCAGATAACTTTTGCTTCTGGTCTGAAACCACATCTTGCTTAACGTTTCTAGTCTTACCACATGCTGCCCCATCAGCTCCACTTACGTGATGCAGTTCTGCAGTGATCTGGAAACCTATTTTCAGCATCTCCAACTGAAGGAATATTTCCAACACACCAATGAATATTGCACTGACCCACAGGATCCCTCCTACTAACACTATAAAGAGAAGAATTATATATGTGGACTCCTTCTAATGGTCGAAATGACAGTCTGGACTTCTACACTGATTGCTTCTGTGAACGTGCACAGGCTGACATTGTGAACAAACAACATCATGTGGCACATACATGCAGGAGGCTGCCAGGCCACATTCTACAGGCCTTTTTTCTCTGATCCCGCTGAGGAATATCAAAAGAAACTACAGTATCTGCTCAGGAAATTCCCTGCTATCACATGGAACCAAATTTACAGATACACTCCCAGATCCCCGACCAGGAGCATTTTATCTGCTACTCAAGATCCATAAACCTGGGAATCCCAGACATCCCATCATCTCAGGCACTGGCACCCTTACAGAAGAATTATCCGGCTGTGTTGACTCTCTCCTCAGATCCTATACTACCAGCACTCCTATCTATCTTTGAGACACCACCGACTTCCTAAGGAAACTACAGAGCATCAGTAATCTTCCTGAATACCATGGAGCATCAGTTATCTTCCTGGCTACCATGTCTGTAAAAGCTCTTTACATCAATATTCCACACAAGGATGCACTACAAGCTGTCAGTAATACCATCTTTGATGATGCCACAGCACACCTGGAGGGTGAGCTATGTGATTTTTGTCTTCACCCACAATTATTTCCAATTTGGGGACAATTTATATCTTCAAGTCAGTGGCACTGCTATGGGTACCCTCATGGCTCCACAATATGCTAGTGTTTTTATGACTGACCTAGAACAACATATTCTCAGCTCCTGTCCCCTAGTACTCCTCCTCTATTCACGTTACATTGATGACATCTTCATCATATGGACCCATGGGAAGGAGACCCTTGAAAAATTCCACAGGGATTTCAACAATTTCCACCCCACCATCAATGTCAGCTTGGTCCACTTCCTGGACACTACAGTACAAATAAATGATGGCCACATAAACACTATCCTATACTGGAAAAGTATTGACTGCTGTTCTTACTTAGGTGCCTCTAGCTTCCAACTAGAACACATCACATGATCCATTGTCTACAGCAGGCATGTCCAAAGTCCGGCCCGCCGGCCAATTGCGGCCCGTGTTCTGATTTAATACGGCCCCCGCTTTCTCCCCCTCTCCTGGCTCCCCGGCGCAATTTTGAACTGGCGCGCCCAGCGCGCCGCTTCCGGCCACGCCGCCGCTCAGGGCCTCCGCGGTCCTAGAGCCTGCCCTGTAGGGCACGTCCGCAGCCCCGCTCCCCCACTCGGCTGCGGGTTCGCCCTGCGCCCGGGCCGCCGTGAGGCCGGCGTGCCCTGCGCTCTCCGCCCACCTCCGGCCCTGCGGGCCCTCCGCCTTAGGGCTGAGAGTGCGGGGACAGCCCTCACACATGTTCACTTCTTCAGATCTTGCCCTCTTTGAAAAAAGTTTGGACACCCCTGGTCTACAGCCAAGATACAACTGGATGTGCTTCAGTCCCACAGACGGAGACACCTACAAGATCTTTATCAAGAATTCTTAAAACTTAAATACCCACTAGGGAAGAGAGGTAACAGATTGACAGAGTCAGACAAATACCTAGAAGTCACCTACTTCAAGACAGGGCCAACAAGGAAAATAACAGAACAACTCTGGCCATCACCTACAACCCCCAGCTTAAAAGCTTCCAGCACATCATTGACAATCTACAACCTATCCTGGAAAATGATCCCTCGCTCTCACAGACCTTGGGAGACAGGCCAGTCCTCGCCTACAGACAGTCTCCCAAGTTGAAGCAAATACTTAACTAGCAGCAGTGTTATTACAGTATCACTGTATAATACAGATACGCTTACCCAGGAACCTATCCCTGCAACAAACCTGTTACCAACTTTGTCCACATATCTATGCAAGCGACACCATCACAGGACCTAACCACATAAGCCACAATATCATGGGCTCATACATCTGCACACCCCTAATGTGATACATGTTATCAAATGCCAGCAATGCCTCTTTGCCATGTATATTGGTCAAATTGGACAGTCTCTGCACCAAAGGATAAATGGAGACACAAAGCAGACATGAGAATGGTAACATACGTAAACCTGTATTCCCAATCTGTGGTCAGTGGACCTCTGGGGGTCTGTGAGGGTACTGCAAGGGTCCGCAGAAAGTTTTTAAAAGTAAGGATCGGGATCCTTACATTTCTTTTCCTTTTCTTCTCTCTCTCCTCCCCCCCCCCACCCGAAGCACAAGGGGGAGGGGGAAGCAGCTGCATGCGCCTGGACATGGCTTGATTTTGATCCCTTTTTTCCGGAAGCTAAGGGAGCATGGAAAAAGTGCTTGCGTGCCATGCATGCCTCTCACACCAGAGCTCCCTTTGGCCATGAGAGCCCCCACGCTCCGTGGATGGGCTGGGGATGGAGGGGACAGGAGCCGAGGAAGCAGCACGGGTGAACAGCAGCCAGTGGGACCCGAGAAGCTCCATGCCCTGCAGTCTGCACGTTCCTCACACTGAAGTTGACAAGCTGCGACTGTCCTCTGGAGTCAGCTTATAAACGGGTCTGCCACTTTTTACCATTCCCCCGCCCCCTCCTTTTTGAATACGTCACCCTGCTCTAACCATTCAAAAGCTATTAGAGTGGCAGGAAGGGTTTAGTTGGGCTAGCAAAAATGGATTGCTTGGGGAGAGGGTGTTTGTGAAATTTTAATAGATTGAAAAGGGGTCCGTATCCTTGAAAAGGTTGGGAACCACTGCTGTAGGGGAACATTTGAATCCCCTTGGACATTCAATAATGGATTTAAAAGTAGGCCAAAGGAATTTTATCACCCAATTACAGAGGGAGACATGAACTGGAATTCAAGATCAACACTGTTAACTTAGGCTTGAATAAAGATCTTAACTGGTTAACACACTACAAAGGCAACTTCCTTGTCATTGATATTCACATTTCCACATCACAGGTTATGAATGAGACACATTCTCAGGGCAGCCAGCTCCATGTGGGCTGGGACAGCTCTGTACTGGGATTAGCGGGGAAGCTGCCAGTGAAGCAAGTCTGGCTTCTGCTCAGATCTGTGGCTGCTTCTGGGGTGAAGTGTGATACTCAAAGATAGGCAGGCACCAGGCAGCCTGCCATAGCACCATTGACCAGGAGCCACACAGGTAAGCCTGAGCCCCAACCCTCCATTCTGAGCCCCTGCAACTGAGAGCCACCTCCTGCACCCTAAATCCATCATCTCCAGCCCCACCCCAAGTCCCACACCTGCAGCCCAGAGCCAGTACCTCAGCCCCCAGCCCTGAGCCCCTCTCCAAACCTGGAGCTCCCTCTTGCATCCGAAACCCCTCATCTCTGAGTCCCTCCCTAGAATCTGTGCCCCCTGCCTCAGCCCAGAGGCCCCTTCTGTATTAAAAATCCTTTGGCCCCTCATTCTCCAGAGGGCTTATACCCCAACAGGGGCGCCATTTCAGATTTTGGAGGGGGAAGACAATGTGTGCATGCCATGATGGGGGTGGGGGAAAGAGGGTGAGAGCATGGGGATGGCAGACAGAGGAGAGAGGCTTCAGCAGTGTTATTGATCATGCTTTGTACAAGCAAAGTATCAAATGTGTGGGGGGTAGTCCACCTTCCCCCCCCCCATATCTCTCTATCCAGGGGCTACTAAGGCACTGGAAAACTCTACTTTTTTGGCAGATAATTCAACAGTTAGCTTACGGGAGCACTGTATCTAATTACTATATAAAAGAAAGAAAATTAAATAAATATTAAATCCATTCAGCTCTAACACTAACATATTCTGATATCTTGTGGCAAGTCACTTAAGGGATCTGAAAAGGTAACACACAGAAACCTGTTGGGGAACATTTTAACTTTCCTGGGCACTCATTAATGGATCTCAAAGTCACTGTACTGTTTCAGGCCAAATCCACAATCCAAATCCACTGTACTGTTTCAGGCCAAATACACAGGGAAGCCTTGGAACTTAATTTCATTTGCAGGTTTGATTCCTATCACAAAGTATGAATAAAGACGTTGGCTGGATGACCCGCTACATTCTATATCCTAATGACATAAAAAACCAAACAAGGGGTACTGAAGAACAATTTGCAACTTCGTTATCAGCTTCAAGTAGCATGGAGACTCTAACTGGCTCTTTTTTTCTCTTGTTTTTCCCTTCTCTCTCTCCCATCCCTTATTCAAAACTGGACCTTTAATAACACCTTTCATCTGAAGAAGTGCCCGCGAAAGCTCATGAAACCATTTATATGTTTTTGTTAGTCTTTTAAGGTGCTGCAAGACTATTTGTTATTTTTTAAATTTTGTTAAGGGACACTGGTTAGCCTTCAAATTTTAATGTAATTCTTACTTTGTTACTAACTCTATGGAAAGAGACAGACCCTGTCAGGACTCCTGGTCTCTATCTCAGCTCTGGATATGTGGCTACATCGCTTGAGGGTTTTATATAGGCTAAACAATACGCAGTTATTGCTCCCATCTTGCAGGTGTATGTAAGTTTTAATCTTTCCTTTTTCTTAAATGGTTTCACAAAACATCAGATGAAAGCCATATAAGTTGGAAGGGAAAAATGGAGAATAAAGCCACCTACTGACAATCCAGAGACAAATTATAAATTGTTATAGACAATTTCAGTGAATTGTGATGAGCTATATTTAAAGTTTGAGGAGATTCTTATGCATAGTTCATCTGTTTGTTTTTCAGTTCTTATTGCTGATTTGCTGGTTTACATACCTGCAGTTGTCTTGTATTGCTGTTGTTTAAAAGAAACATCAACTAAAAAAAAGGCAAGTATAAGTCTATGGGGGGGAAGGGGTGTGTTGTGTGTGTGTGTGTGTGTGTGTGTGTGTGTGTGTGTGAAAAAGTATAAAAATATAGTGAACTGGAATATAAATTTAAAAAGCTGAAAAAAGGTTAATGTTACAAAACCACGCAATGCTTTCTGTTTACATTATCTGAATGACAATCAGTATATGTTGCATTAAAGACTTTTCAGTAAGAAAACATGAGGTTATTTTACAGTAATTATTTTATGTCTTTCAATAACAAGTTGCACTGTTTTTAGTAACCATGAACTGCTGCATTATACTTGTCAAATTTATTGCTTGGGTAGTGTAAACAAGATTTGTGCTGTGACAAGGGTGAATCTATGGACAGCCTTGGGTCTTTACACTTTAGATAGCAGAACTGAAATGCATTGGGAAAGTGACATTATGCACAGGGTTTCTGGTACTCATTCTTCTCAGGCATCTGTGGTCTGTCAAGTCATGGAGCAGTTCCCAGGATTAAATTGAGCACAGTCATGTTTGTGATTTGGCTGGCAGAAGACACTGATGTTACTTGTAATGCCCTTTCCCACTGGGGCTCTCTTCCTCCACTTGCACCCTTGAAGCTATCAGTGGGGGACACATAACTGGAGGAAAAGAATGTTCTGCAGATATATGAGTAAAAGATCCATAGGAACTTGACTGGGCGAGGCTTGTTAAAGGAGAACCAATCATGTTCTGGTTCCAGGGTGAAATGAACTGTTATGAAATAAAATGCCTTGTTTTTGTGTGTTTAAAATTTTTCTTTTTTTCTTTTCTCCCAGATTGCCACTGCTCTCTGTATATTGCTTTATCCTGGCCTCATTCTCATTGACTATGGACACTTTCAGTATCCTTGCATTTGCTCTAAAATGAAAGAATTTCAGTCCCTTCTATAACATAAAACATCACTTTTAGTGGGGGGAAGGGGAAGGGAGGAGGGAAGTTGGATTTGTTAGCTGACAGTTGAGGGCCTCCCTCCCCCTGCAAAAGTTTTGAAAGGAAAACAGTAACCCTTAAATGGATTGGAGCAGAAGATAAATTGTGGGGGCAAATCCGTTTAACATGGATGGATGGATTTCTTTGCATCTCAAGTCCTACTTTGTTTGAGTAAATGTTGTTGACAGTCTGGTTTTGAAAAGAATGGATACTCCTTGCTTGTATATCATATTACCCGTATAAGTTTCAGAAGTCTTAAAGCCTCCATGCCAATGTTTATATACCCAAAATATAGGCTGAGATTTTCAAAGCCACCAAGGGAAATTGGAAGCACAATTCCCATTAATTGTAATGAGAATGGGGCATGTCACATTTGTATGGGAAGTTTGAAAATTCAGCCCTAATGGTATTCATGCAAGTGTGTCCATTGTTCTAGCATTAGTTTTAAAAATAAGTACATCTACACATTTAGCTTGTATTGGAAAATTAGCCGTTGTGACTAGCCATAAGTAAATGCAACAGCTGTAGCAGTGTGTCCCAGGTAACAGAGATAGGAGTAAGTCCTGTGGCTGTGATAAAAGCTCCTGGGCCTTGGCTCTGCTCCTAGCTGCAGTACAAGGCTTACTTCTGACCCTGGCCTCAGCCTCCAGGCTCCTGACATCAGCCTGGTCTCCTGACCATGACTCCTGGGGGAGGGACATGGTCAGATTACATTATAGGTAAATATGGGCACAACCTAAAAAGTTTGGGGTCAACTGCTGTAGAAAATTCAGATGTCCAGAGAGAAACAGTAGTAGAAACCAAATGTTTAAGAAACAGACTTTACTTTCATAAAATATATTAGCTATACAGGCAGTCCCCTACTTACGCGGATCCGACTTATGTCGGATCCGCAAATACGAACGGGGCTGCCCCAGAGTACACGGACTGCGGGACCTCCCGGTCCTGCCGCCCGTGTACTCTGGGGCTTTCTCCGCTGCCGGCTTCCCCGTGGCTTTCTCTGCGTCTCCCTGGTCTGCCGTGGCTCTCTGGGCACCTGTGGCAGAGCAGCTGGGGTGCTGCCGGTTGGTCCCGCAGCGCCGCTCTGGGCGCTACTGGTCCAACCAGGAGCACCCCAGCTGCTCTGGTCCGGATTCAGTCGCTGCCGGTCAATTTCAGCAGCGGCTGAATCAGGACGCCTGGGGCAGAGCAGATGGGGTGCTGCTGGGTTGGTCCAGTAGTGCCGAGGAGCAGCGCTACTGGAGCAACCCAGCAGCACCCCAGCTGCTCTGTCCCAGGCGTCCTGATTTAGCCGCTGCTGAAACTGACCCT